TATTTAACATTGCATACCTCATAGCTGTTGGCTATGCTATACACTGGCAAAGAGAGCAACACTTTCCCCCTTATCTCCAAAGACATCTATTCAAATTCTCCATACATTCTGCTACACTTATGAATTTCAGAAAGAAAACTCTTTCCTTGTTTGTATATTAACTTTTGATTATGCTATTTTGTGTATATTTTCTGTATACTCTTATAGATAATCATGCAAGGCTTTGCCTTAGGGAAAGAGGGTGGTGTATTTGGCTCATGTGTTCTTTTATAGAGTGACTTTTTCCAACTTAAGTCTCATGATTTTTTAGGTTGAAAATAAAACACATGCTGCTATTTATTTAGCTACAAAAATGCACTTTAGACATGTTTCGCTGACAATACAAACTTTCATAACAAAGTGAATTCAGTGATTATCTTATCAGAATTCATATTGGAAAGTGAGTTGTGTTGAATTTCTTATTCTATATACATATCAATTTTCTGGCATCTGACTGATAAATGACCTAGGATAAAAAGCACTAAAAATATGAAGTGTATAATATGAAAAGACATTTTTTTGTTTTATGTTGCAACTGTATTATATAAATTAGAAAAAAATTGTAGGGTATTTTATTAAGTGGAACTACCGGTTAATAAACAAAATATACATATATATAATGTATCTTTGTGAACAATTTGAAAAATATAACTAGCAACTACATTTAAAATATATTTTGCATCACCTTGTGTTTCTAAATTTATAATAAGAACATACCCTGTTTACTTTGCATAAATTTTAGTTTCCTTTGAAAATGGTTTTTAGCACACATGTAAGTGCATGGGAATAAATTTCTTGGCCTCAAATGTATAATATTTGTAAAGTGTTTAGCACAGGGCTTGGCACATAGTAGTTGCTATTTAAATGCTTATTTCCTCCCCCTACACTCCTCAGAATTGGAAGGGCTTCTGAGATTACCTAATCCATCCTGAATACTAAAACAGGAATTCCTTCTGCAATCTTAGATGATTGGTCATCTGACCCCTCTCCTTGAAGACTTTTAGTCTTGGGGGATTTACTGCCTTATGAGATAGCCCATTTTACTTTTGGATAGCCCTCAATGTGAGGAAATTTTTCATTATGTTGACCTGAAGATTATCAGGGTAAAATCATGTTTTGATAAGTACTGAGGGGTCTATTCATTTTGTGTGTTATAATGGAATTTTGTCCTATTGAATTTTGTTTGGGCCTTGATAATTTTTGTTATATAGAAATTTTCATTGGTGGTATTTATTATATATAACACAGGCCTTGGGCTCAGGAGACCAGCTCATGCTTACTAGTTATGATTCTGGACAAATCACTTAGCTTATTAGAAAGTTTTTAGAAATCGCTAGAAATTTTTAACTCTGTACCTCAATTTCTTTATCTGTAAAATGGGGATAACACTTGTATTGCTATTTCTGCCTATTTTATTACTTTTGGTAATCCAGGATGAAGCAATCCTCTTTTTTCCTTATTTGTAAAATACAGAATTTAATGGTAGCATCTTATGATCCTACCTGCTTCATAGTGCTTTTCTGAGGGAAATGCTTGGTAAACCCTGGAAATGTAAATTATCAATAGGATTTACCATTGTAACATTGAAACACATCCAGTGAGTGATGGTTGCCAAAAAGGATTAGTAACCTTTGCACCACAATGCTTCTTTCAATTTGCATTGCCCTTGCCTGTACAGGATGCTTTTGTGAATTTTTGGAAAAAGTGTCTAGTTAGCTTTGCTGCTGCTGCTTTCCTGCTGCTTTTCCATTTTCACAGCAGAATTTTAAAACTTAGAAAAGATTGACTTTATTAATTGTTATAGCAAATTAAACTTGGTACTAAGCCTGACTGATTTTCATACCTCGTGAGTTATATGCAGAGGGTAGCATGTCTGTGACTTTGTAAAGGCTCAAGGAGAGCAGGCTCACATTCCTCTTTCAGGTAAGAGGCCAGGGAAGGGCTCTTGGATGATAAGTGTGCAAAAAGGTTGTCCAGGGCAACAAAAGGCCTAACATTATCCTTTGTGTGGGAAAGTTAACAAGTCATTATTCATCTGTGAAGGGTAATATATTTGGTCTTTTTGTGTCAGTAGACAACTTCAGTTGAAATATTGAAGCAGTAGTGCAAGTTTTTCCATTTTATAAATGAAGAAACTGAAACTTGGAGGTGTGATTAGCAGTGGAAGTGTCCTAATCTTGGACTATATTTTAGTGGATGGTGTCTGACAAAAATCATATTAGAACTAGCTCTTGGGTTAGTGATACCATCTGAGAAGAGTTGTGGTACTCATGATCCAAAAGTCTTATTTCTGCCTTTTTCTTGTTTGTTCCAGGCTGATGATAAAAGAATGCAAATAAGTTTTAAGTTACTCCTGGGTAGAAGACAGGAAGTGACTAGAGCCGTGAAATAAGTGGCTATTACATTAGCAATGGTTTTTCCATGGATAATCCAAACACTTGTAATTCAGTGTGCATATAATAATTTCTTGAATCAAATAAACTAGCTTTCTAAGAAAATGGGGGCATTTATTGAAAGAAAGTACTCCAGCAAAGAGAAGCAAAACAAAATTTGGGGGGATAGGGTTAAACTGCCTCAATTACTTTTGTACCCTGAGCTTTGTAATTTCCTCACCTTCCCCCCCAACAATTGCTCTTTGAGCCTTGCATTTTAATCAGTTAACAACCTGAAAGTTGCTGGTGAAAGATTTAAGTTCACTTCCCTTTGACAGTACATGTGACAGAAGGCAAGTCCCTTAATATTTTCGTGTCCATAGCAATTTAATGACTGTTGCAGAGCAAATAAGTGATCTGAATTTCAGAGGGAGTTTCTTCATGGGACAATCCCTATATGGATGAAATCACAGAACCTGTCTAAACGTGTCAAGCAGTATGCCTTGCTAGGTGCTGGGGATATAGAGATAGGAGCATACATTTTATCATAAGCATACGTGTTCAGATTATAGGATTGTAGCAGTGGAACTGCAACAGACCGTAAGAGGTCATCTAGTCTAAACCTATTTTATAACAGCTGGCATCTCTAACATTTTCAGGCATGCCAAGGGCTTTACATAGTTTTTCTTACTTGATCCTGATAATAACCCAGGGAGGTAGGTCAGATGAGGAAAACAGGTTGAGAGGAGTGCCAGTAACTACAGAGTTGGGATTCCCACACAGAGAACCCAAGGCCTTCTGATTTTGAGGCCAGAATTCTTTCTACCATGCCACTCTGTCTCTCTATGCTGAATCCCTTAAGTGCTGTGGTCCCAGAGCCCACACCCAGTGCTACTTTCCCTAGCAGCTTTCTTTGTTTACTTGGTCAGTCACAACTATTCAGTCATTTTTTTTTTCCAGTTGTGTCTGACTCTTTGTGACCCCATTTGAGGTTTTCTGGGCCCATTTCCTTCTCCAGCTCATTTTACAGATGGGGAAATTGAAGCAAACAGAATTAATGATTTGCCCAGGGTCACACAGCTAGTAAGTGTATGAGGCTAGATTTGAACTCCAGTCTTCAGGACTCCAGGTCTGGCACTCTATCCACTGGGCCACTTAGCTGCCTAAATTCAATTCACTTGCATGTCATGGCCTCACTTCCCTGATGTCCTGGTCCTCTTTGAGAATGAAGGACGAACAACCACCACCTCTGAGTACTGGAACTGGCCACTTGGGTAACATAGCTCACTCCTTTCCTCCCACCCCTATTGTAATTTTGATCACTGAAACCTGTAAAGTTTTCTTGAGGTTTACAGGCTAGATTTGTTTCTTAAGGACCATGCCTTAAACTCAAATCACTCTGGCTCTCATTAATTGGCCAACAAAGGTACCAGGCCAAGCCCCATCTGGTCATTGTTTGGAACCTGATTGGCTCAAAGTGAATGTAAACAGCCAATTGTTTCTGTTTTGGCCAGAAACCCTGAGGTTCTTCCCCTCTTTTTACCTAGGTAAAAAAGGCCATTCCCTGCCTCATTTCTTACCTATCCTTAATCGCTTAAAGGGCATTGCCTCAGTCAAACTGAGACCTGGAAAGACTTTAGCTTAAAAAAACGAAGGGCTCCAGCTGCATCTGGGGCCATCTCTAGTTGTCCTGATCCATCATATCTGGCCACTGGCTAGATGACTGGAGGATTAAGTGAGGCTGGTGGCTTTGCACAGCCCTTCCTCACTTAAATCCAATTCAAGTGCACGTCATGGCATTACCTCCCTGATGTCCTCTTCAAGAGTGAAGGACAAACAACTAAGGAAGCAATCCCCCCAATTAATTGATTTGTCCAAGGTCACTTAGAGCTATTATTTGACTCATCTTCAGACTTGAGATCCAATGCTTTTTCTGTACTAGATTTCTGTGAAATTGAACTGCTCTTAAGAAGCTTACATTCTAATGGGGGTGAGGGACAGATATAATGCACATATATATCTCACATCTACACACTCACGCCAAAGATTCACAAAGGCAGGTGATGGGATCTGTACTGCTGGAGGGACAGCAAGTAGGAGAGCTGAGTGAGGGGAAGGGATGCAGAGAGATTCGTCCTGTCTTTGACCTCGGCATCTGCACTAGGGTGATTATGCTATGAGACAGTAAGGAGCCTTTTAGCTACGGTGTGTGTGTGAAGAGTGGATGGCTCCCAGACACCTGGGAGAAGGAAGGGTTTGGTAACAGAACTCGAATGACTGCATTGGCCAGCTTGGAACAGTCTATCCTCATAAAGCAGCCCATCCTGCCTGCCCTGTTGCCCCATCGCTGCGATCACTTGCCTTCCTGCACGAACTGCATGCACCCACCGGGTAGCTCAAACTACCTTACCCTAACCTCTAACAGCTTCCCTGACAAACAGTGCACTTCTCGCGCAGAGCATGAACCGGAAGTAAAGTGCTCTACGAGGGATTACTAATTGGCTCTGTACGCGCTCGGTCGTGGCCCCGCCCAGCTGCTTCCGCTCGGCGTGTGCGCCGATTGGCCAAACGGCGCGGATATAAGGCGCCGCGCCGGCCTCTCGATCTTTCTCTTAAGTTGTCTGTAAGGTGCTTGGTTCTTCTTCGGAAGCTAAGGCCGCGTTGGGGTGACCCCCTCACTTCATCCGGCGACTAGCACCACTACAAACAAGTCTCTCCTCATCCTTCTGCTGAAATGGCCGTCTCCGAGCTCGCTTGTATCTACTCTGCCCTCATCCTTCACGACGATGATGTTACAGTCACGGTGAGTGTTGGATGTGCTGGGGGAGCCCGTAGGCCTGCGCTCCCATGCGCGGGTCGCCGGCCTCCAAAATTTGCGCGCCGCGTGCGTCCCGGCGGGACAGCCCCGAAGTTGGGACACGGTAGGGCCAGGCCAAGCCACGCTTTCGGCGGTCTCTTGGCCCAGAGTGGCCCGGCCTGAAGGGGCGGCTGCCTGCCGCGCTCTGTCCTTATGGAACCTCGGCCTGACGGACGGATCCAACTGGGGCTGGAGCACGCGGCCCGCCTTGGCTTCCGGCCTCCTGGCGCTGGGGGAGGGGCAACCTCTCCACCACGTGGCTGCCGCCCGCCCTCAGCTCGCCCGTCAGCCGCGGATTCTGGCAGCGTTTCGGAGCTGTAGTGCTCTTAGGGCCGGTTGGTTTGCCATCAGGCCTAGATGGGTTACGTGGTCAGCGTTTTAGGGTCAGTCTACAGGGGTTCATCCCCCTCCCGTTTTAATAGAAGCCACACCAAAAATAGAGTGTAAGGCACAAGTTATTTAGTATATTTTGCTTTGCATTTATGTTGAAATGCACCTGAGGTAGCCGAACGGGAGAACAATTGTGGAGGTAGAAATGGTATGATTTAGAAACTAATGGGAGTTACATAGGCAGAGAAGAGTTGGAGACAATGTGAAGAGGTTACAAAAATTGGGAAGGTGATAAGATTTGGGAGGAGAGTTTTGGGGTGTTTTTTTTGTTTGCGTGTTGAGTTTGACATCCACAAAACTAAAATAAATTTGATCTTTGAACTTTGATATTTTGGTTACTTTGTAGCGTTTATACTTCTGAAGCTATCTATTAAAAACTTATAAGACTGAACTTCTGAAAAATCCTGAATAGGCCTGGGAGACCTCTGAATTGAGATAATTAGATGAAAGAAGAAAGGGTGCTCTTGGAATTGAGGCGGGGCAGGTGTAAGGTAGTCCAACTATTTAGGTGACAAATGAGATTTTCTGAATTGAGCTCCCTTCTTAAATGGAGGTTTGGAAATTCAGTGGCTCCACCCTTTCATCAGAGGGAGTGGGTCGTGATAGGTGGAGTATCAAGGTTGATGAGATTTGCAGGATGATGAGTTTTCCTAATAATGAACTTCCTGGGGGTGGGTGGAAAAGTCTAGAGTCCCAAAGTAGTGCAGATGGGTGAGAAATTAACCTGGAAGAGAATAGTGTCTTGAAAACTCAAATTAGAATATCTGGGAGAGTGGGCAAACTTGTTAAATGTTGTTTACAGGTATGTTTTAGCTTAACAACAATAGGGTGCTACCAAACTTAGATTTATTTGTTTAGGAGTTTGATCTGCATAGGTAGAAAAGTAAGAGTGCCAGTTCTGATGGAATCAGATCCATTCTGGATACAGGGTGCAAGATTTTAATTTCTTTAAAAATTTTAGCATCATCACTTGTAATGGTCACTTCAGGTTTTTTTCATTGTATCATTAAGTTACTGTTTCTGATTCCTTGTAGATTTGTTTTCCCTTACGTGAAAATTTGAGAGGTCAGCAGTTAATATTTGAAATCAAATCTAACATGTACGTGAATAAAACTGTAGTCCTATTCAGCAGTCTGGTGTTTCTTAATCTACTTTATACTTAATTGCTTCTGAGCAATCTATATGAAGTTTGTGTGTTGTCATTGTAAGAATATGAATTTCAACAGCATTTTATCTTTTTCAGGAGGATAAAATCAATGCCCTCATTAAAGCAGCAGGTGTAAATGTTGAACCATTCTGGCCAGTATTATTTGCAAAGGTAAGACAACTGTGGGTTGTATGGACATTGAAAAGCACCACTGCACAAAGCAGCATCCAATGGACTGAAAGACCTGAGTTTGAACTCTTCATCTGTACTAGTTGTGTGACCACGAGCAAGTCATTGGGTGTCTTTGAACCTCAGTTACCTCCTCTGGATAATAGAGATAACACGACCTGCAGTACTGATTTTGTAGGGTAGTTGAGAGTACCAAAACAGCTAAAGTGATACAAATGGAATTAGATTGGGCAAGTTACTTAATTTCTAAGCTTCAGTTCTCTCAGATATAAAATGAGGGGCTAAGACTAGATGACCTAAAGTTCCTTCCAGTATCAAGTAGTTATAGGAATATTACAGCTTAGAAGCAAACTACCTCTGGCTCAGGATTCAAGACTGGGTTTCATCATGACACTGAATATCATCAAACAAGCTGTGCAGATTATTTATCTCCAATGTGGGGTGTTAAATATAATTACTATTTTGGGTTAGGGTGAAAACTTAACTGACTTAGTATTTGATAATGGGATGTTGGTTACAGGCCCTGTCCAATGTCAACATTGCAAGTCTCATCTGCAATGTAGGAGTTGGTGGACCTGCCCCAGCAGCTGGTGGTGCTGCTCCTGCTGGAGGGGCAGCTCCTGCTAGCACAGCTGCCCCCGGTAAGTGTTCTTTTTTGTTTGAAAAACTTGGTTAGTTCATAGGCCACTTGATAGACTTGTTCAGGAGTGGGGATCCTGTGACTTAATAAAAGGAATTGTTCTGTGAGGTTTGGATTCAGTCAAGGGGCCACACTTAAGGACCTAGAGGGCCACATGTGGCCTTGATGCCGCAGCTTACCCAACCCTGGAGTTCATGGAATCAGTCCACCAGGCTGTTCCTTATTTATTATCCCAGAGGAAATAACTTATGTTGTTTGACTGTTAGCCTTTGTGGAATGTCTTGCCTAAGATCTAGACTACTTCAGTATTTTAGTGGCAAACACTTTGGTTTTATAGCCGCAAATGTGCAAAGCCATTGGGCATATAACAAAAGCTAAATAGAACTTTTTTTTTTAAATTAAATATTGCTATAGCAGACTTTCGCTTTGAAGTTGGGCTTTGGGAATTTGAAATTGTTTTGTATCTAAAGCAGAATTCTGTATTATTTAAAAATTCATTTAATTTTATGGCTATTTTTCCTTCTTAAAGTCTATTCAGTTTTGAAATGTATAATTTTAATTCTTATCCCTTTTTAGCTGAGGAGAAGAAGAAAGAGGAAGCAAAAAAAGAAGAATCCGAGGAGTCCGATGATGACATGGGCTTTGGTCTGTTTGACTAAATATTTTTTGTAACATTAAATAAAAGGCTTAACTCTACTAAAAATGTAGTTATTTTGCTAATTTTTAAGTGATCTCAGCAATGAGTAGTACATAAGTGCTCATGCAGGAGAGGTAGACAGCACTGGGTGAATGAAAAAGCATTTATTTAAATACTATTTTTAAAGTTTTTATTTCTATTGATAAAAAATATCTAGTTCTTGCTTTGAACCTTTGACAATGACTTTGCCAAGAACTTGGTTTTCTGGGCATTTAGCAGCTGCCTTTCTCTGTGCTCTGGGCATGGGGAGGACTGTCTTGGACTTATTCCACCAGAACCTCGGTCTGGAGAGGGAATGACAGTATTTTGGCTTATCTTAGCCTTTTCCTGTACTTCAGGGTGCCTTGCTTCACCCAGGATGGCTTGCTTGTCTTGGTGGTGGCAAGCAAAAATAGAGGGGGCCCCCCTATTTCCACAAAGATTGCTTCTCTGGCCTGTGATTGGGGAATGGGGCTGGGCTGGAGATAATATCCCTATGGCATCTAAGTGGTTGTAGACAGAGCTGGACTTAGAGTTGGGAAGACCTGTGTTCAAATCTTTGCTCAGATATTTACTGACTATGTGACCTTCCCCAGGAGTCATTGCAGCAAGAGTAATTGAACCTTAGGTTGTTGTGAGGATCAATTGAGTTAATATAAAGTGCTTTTCAAAACTCAAAGGGTCCTATGTAAATATTTGCTGTTTTCACTGTCTACATATGATGCTTTTGTCTGTTTTGACTTTGCTTCTTAGTGTACTATTCTAAGGACTGACTTGCTTAAACTTAGATGCTAATTGTACAGCTTTTCCTCATTCCCTAATCCTGGAAAGACTCTGTAGCTCGAAAGGGAAAGAAAACTGAATCATGTAGTCATGAATTATCTGAGCTTGGAAGACTTTCAGTGGTAAAATAAGTAAAGAGCAGGATTTCAACTGCTTTTGCAGTTAAAGTGACAAAGTGTATGATGATCATTTTCAGTTATCACTAAAAGCTGTTGCTCAGTTGTATACTAGGGTTTGGTGGTTGTTAGGTAATGGAGTATGCAAGCACTTTATATTTCCCTAAACCCATTTAGAATCAGCTACTAACTACTAATAGTTAATGAGTTTTCCTTTCAAGCAGATTTTACATGGTCAACACCTCAGGCTGTTGTCTGTTTCTCATTAGATGTTATATAAAGAATTTATATTCTTTGAGGAGTTAACCCCTAAATGGATAGATTTCACTGGAATCTCACCTTCTGACTTGCTTAAACTTAGATGCTAATTGTACAGCTTTTCCTCATTCCCTAATCCTGGAAAGATTCTGTAGCTAGAAAGGGAAAGAAAACTGAATCATGCAGTCATGAATTATCTAAGCTTGGAAGGCTTTCAGTGGTAAAATAAATAAAAGTAGGATTTCAACTGCCTCTTCAGTTAAAGTAACAGTGTATGATGATCATTTTCAGTTATCACTAAAAGCTGTTGCTCAGTTATATACTAGGGTTTGGTGGGTGTTAGCTAATGGAGTAGGCAAGCACTTGCCTCCAGTTACTTAGGAGCAGAGGAATTTTCTCTGCTTTTGCTGTGTACATAGGATTATTTTATACCTGAATGGATCTGATTATTGTGCAGCTCTCCAGGACTTCCCATTTGATTCCCTCCCATTTGACCAACTAAAAAAAGATTTGTTCTCATAGAATGTTCTGGACATTGTCCATTTAATAAAATCCAAATAAGGCCTTAGCTTATATGTACAGGAATTTAGTTAATAGTTGTATAGTTGAGTTCATAAAATGGCTATTTTACCTGTTCGCTTACCTATGTCTTTGTATTACTCTTCGTAAATGCAAGTTGATGCTTAAAATTGAACTTAAAACATTTTTGAGTTTTCCCTTGACTTTGACTAATGATTACATGATTTATATTTCCCTAAACCCATTTAGAATCAACTACTAACTACTAATAGTTAATGAGTTTTCCTTTCAAACAAATTTTACATGGCTATCACCTCATGCTGTTTTCTGTTTCCCATTAGATGTTATATAAAGAATTTATATTCTTTGAGGAGTTAACCCTTAAATGGATAGATTTCACTGGAATCTCACCTTCCTCTAAATCTTCAACTTGCTGCTGGGTGTTTCTGCCTGAGTGTCTCACTAACACCTCAAATACTTGTGAAAATTGTTTTCTCTACTCAGCTCCAATATCCTTGTTCAGAACTTTATTGTAATAATTTAACTGGTCATCTTTCTAGTGTCTATTTGATTTAACTTCCTTACTCACCTCTCCCACTCTGCATTTGTGTGTGCCATTCCTTCTGTTATATTCCTTTACCACCAATTGAAATTGTTATTTCAAGGCCCAGGTGAGTTACCAAATCTTGAATCCTTTTAGTAATCTTCAGGTTTTCTTAGGACTCTGCCTGGTCAAATGCTCTCTTGTAATATACTTTGTACGTGTTGCAGGCCACCCCACTTCCCACACCATTTGCCCATCAAAGATTGTAAGTACTTTGGTTAGGGGGTCATTTTTAGTTTTCCTGTATTTCAGTTCTGTATACTTGGATTTAGTTTGAATTGTGATTTCATTGGTATTGAGAATTCCCTGATGGGGAAACACCCACACATTGATTATATCAATAAAAGATTAGTGCATAGGTGCTGAATAGAAATAAAGTCAGGAGGTTGGACTTAAACTCGACAGCATCTTAGACTAAGCTGTATGACCATAGGTAGGTCACTGCTTTCAGCCTTAAGTCTGCTTCTGCAGCTGTGCTGCTATCCTCACAGGTTTGTGAAGGAAACACTTTGTAAGTACTAAAAGTATTTATGCAAATGTAATACTTTTTTGTGCTAGAGAATTAGTCATATAATACAATAATATGTGTTGAATATATAATGGAAAAATATTAGAAACAGGAGGCAGAGAACCTGGTTTTAGCTGTGATTGAAGCTGGCTGACCTGTTGAATTTGTTCTTCTTCCTTGTAAGCATGAAATAGCCCATGAGCAACTCAGGACAAATCTCAACTCTTCTGGTCCAGGGCCTGCAACAAAGGAATCTTCTACCTGTTTTAGATGGATTGTAAAAGGGCTGATAGCTCTAGGCAGCTATAAAGCATTAGGAAAAGGTAGAAAGTAGGAGACCAACCTTTAGGCACTTTACCAGTTTTAAGGGGCTTAGTAATAGTTTAAAATGAATACAGTGTAACTACTGAACAGGACTGTTAATCCAGCAGGTCAGAGAACCAGTTGGTAACTGGGGGAATTGATATTGCAGGGACAAGTACCAGGAGCTGCTTTTGCACATGTAATATATGCCCTGCTCCCTTCTACAATCCACATATGTAAAAAGGGCAATGTCCACTGACATAAACCAATAAGTTCCCTTCTAGGATTTAAATAAGGATTAAGTTTTGAGATCAATTTGGAAAACAATAGAACTGTAACCCAATTGTGGACCAGGTAACCTTCTTGTACTTGGAAGTTTTGTTTTCAGTGAAAAATGAGCATAAATGACCTAGTACAAGGAGAAAGCAGTAGCTCTGAGTTCAAATTTTGCTCTATACATCACCTGAGGTCCCCTACATTTATGTATTTATTGTCCAAAAGGAAGGAAAGTAACCCAATGTATATTTGCATTTGTTTTGATTTTTGACCCTCAACTAAAAAATTCAAGTTCCTGCCCATTCATGGTTTGGAGATTAAAGTCCTTTCTCACGGAGCTTCCTTTCTATTGGCAGTGGTGGTGCAGTGTATGCACACCTGCAATTTCAGGAAGAAAGCAATAAGGCCAGGAGGATAAGGAAAGGCTTCCCATGCAAAGGGGGTGGCACCTGGTGTGATTTTTGGAGGAAGCTTGGGGTTCCTAAGGGTTGGGGGGGAAAGGAAGGAATGAATTATAGGCATGAGTGGACATTGCAAAAGCAGTCATGGAATGCTGACATCAGGAAATAGGTCACTAGCTAGCGTGGGGAGGAAAGCAATATGAAAATTTAGAAAAGTAGAAGGGAGCCAGATTGTGGGAAATTTAAAATGCTACAGTAATGTTTTTTTTCCTTAGTCCTAAAAGCAATAGAACACCGCTTAAGATTTTTAAATAGGTTGGTAAGTTTAGACCTGAGTTGTAGTAATAAGTGTGGTACAGTGATAAGCTAGCCTCAGTTAAGTATGTTGGGGTTCAGGTGGTTTTATTTTTAACTGTAAGCTACCAGTTCAGTGAGTTTAGGTAAGTCACTTAACATCAGTGCCCCAGAAAACCAAGACAGAGAATACTTGATATTTATGAAGCTCACTGTAAAAGTTTTATCAGTGTAATCACAGGTCAGGATAAAAAAAGTAGAGCAGACATTGAAGATGGACTCCTGAGAAAGTCACTAACTAGGGAGTCAGAAGTTGATTGCTAGAATTAGTTGATTGCTTCTTTTGAAGAAAAAAATTCATTTTTTGCATCCAACAAGATTCTTTTGCCTTGATGGAATTTAATTTGAATCTAAATTTAATTAGGATTTCTAAACTTACTTAACTATACTGCTCATCTTTCTCCCTCTAAAATTCTGTGATCTTTCTGCCACACAAGTATATGCTTCTAGGATTAGAGAGTGAGGAAAACCAATGGTATGGCTTCTAAATTTGTATTGAGGGCTGGAGGTTAAAGTCACAAATATGAAAAGAAGAATAGGTTTGTGAGGCTCCCCACCTTTTCTGCAAGTCCTACACTGCTGTGAGATTGAAGTGCCTTAGTACCCACAGAGACCAACCATAGCAGAGTTTTCAACTATTTATTTGCTGTATTACAAGAAACAATTAGTCAAAAAGGCCAAAGCCCATGTCATCATCTGATTCTTCGGATTCCTCTTTCTTAACTTCCTCTTTCTTCTCTTCAGCTGAAAAAAGAACAAGATGATGAGATGAATGTAGGACTATTTGAATTGAACTAAACTTAGAAGTAAATATTTCTTGAATACTACTTCAAATACAGTGCAAGAAAGCAAGCACAGTTCTAAATCTCTAGGTGGCACATAGTCAAAAGTATAATGTCTTCTTG